TAAATAAATAAATAAAATAATTAAAAAAAAAAAAAAAGAAAGAAAGAAATGGAATGTTAAAAACATTAAAAAGTGGCATAGCTAGAGACAAGGAGAATGCTTCTGGCATCTTCTGGGTGCAGACCAGGGATGAGGCCCAACCTCCTTCAATGCACAGAGCCCTCCTGGGAGAAGACAGAAGGGGCCAGGGAGAAGTCCCTGCTGCTGCTGGTGGCTTTAGCCAGGTGGTCCCAGGGAGTCACGTCATTTTAGAAGCTATGCTTTGCCTTCTTGGGGCTGGCACGTGGCTTGGTGGTTAAAGGCACTGGATTCCCATGTGGCCAACCATGGTTCAAGTCCCAGACCTGGCAGCTTGCTTTCTCACTTTCCCTTTCTCTCTCTCTATCTTCGTCTGGTCAAATTAAAGAATAATAATAACATAGAAGTAAATAAATAATTCTTTTTTAAAAATGTAGCTATGCTCACCTTCTCATGGACATGGCCAAGAATGAGCTAACCCTTTATTTTTTCCCCCTTCAGGCACTAGCACTTGCCAGAGAGAGAGAGAGAGAGAGAGAGAGGAAAAAAAAAAAAGTGAGACATCCCCCCCCCCCGGGGGATGGCCATGCCACAATCTCTTTTCCTCCATTCTTTTTTTTTTATTCTTTTTTATTTTTATTTCATCTTATTTATTCTTTTTTTTTTTTTTTAATTTGACCAGAGGGACAGAGACAGAGAGCAAGTGAAAAAGCAAGCCACCATGTCCAGGACTTGAACCATGGTCAGCCATGTGGGAGTGTCCAGCACCTTAACCACCATGCCACCTGCTGGTTCCTCTTCTCCTCCATTCTTCTCCTGGGATCTTGGGCACGCACGTACAAGCGCCTGGTGTGATTTTCAATCCACCGGGTCCGGGATTTGAATTGCTGTTAGCCGCGTGGGAGTTCAGCAACATAACCATTAAGCCATCTGCTTGCTCCCTTTCCATTGTTTTTGATTGGTTTGCTATAGGGCACATATGTGCACATGTGCACACCGGGGAGAAAGTCAGAGAGACAGAAAGCGAAAAATCACCCCCCAGGGGGGATGGCCACACCACACTCCCTTCTCCTCCATTCTCCTCTCAGGATTTTGGGCACGCACGCACATGTGCTTAGCGTGTTTTTCAAACCGCTGGGTCTAGGACTCAAACTGTGCAGTCAGCCATGTGGGATCCAGCCGTCTTAACCACTACACTACCTGGCTGACTCTTTGTTATATTTTACATAAACAATTAATAATTTTTCTGGGTCCAGCAGGTGGCATGGTTGTTAAGGACATTGGACTCCTACATGGCCAACTCTGGTTTGAATCCCGGACCTGGCAGCTTGCTTTCTCATTTTCCCTTTCTCTCTCTCTGTCTTGCTCTGTCCTTCTCTGCTCCAATGAAAATAAATTAATTAATTAATAAATAAATTAAATTAAATTAAATAGCCCTCCAGGGGGACACCTGGCAGTTTCTGGAGATATTTCAAAGTGGCATGGGCACGTGGCATGGTGGTCGAGATGCTGGACTCCCACATGGCTGACCTTGGTTCAAGTCCCGGATCTGGCGGCGTGCCTTCTCTCTCTCTCTGGTCAAGTTGAAAAGTAATAAATAAGGGAACCAGCTGCTGGCGTCATGGCTATGTCGCTGGACTCCCACGTAGTCGACCGCGGTTCGCGTCCTGGACCTGGTGGCTTAGGACTCACGCCGGGAGCGTGTGCATGCATGCCCAAGATCCCGAGAGGAGAATGGAGGAGAAGGGATTGCGGCGTGACTATCCCCCGTGGGGGGTGATTTCTCGCTTTCTGTCTCTCTGTCTCTCTCTGTCTGTCTGGCGAGCGCACGCGCCCTATAGCGAAAACCTCTCC